GAAGCCAATGCAAAGAAGCTAAGACAGGAGAAATATGATCTCTTTTCCTGGTTCCTGTCAGAACACGTGCTGCAGCATTCTGGATCAGCTGAAGAGTCTTAACGGACTTTTTCGAGCAGCCTGATAATAAGGAATTGCAGTAATCCAGCCTAGAAGTAACAAATGCATGGACTAGTTTTTCTGCATTATTTTTAGACAGGATGTTCCTGTTCCTGATCGCATTATTACGTAGGTGAAAAAAGGCGGTCCTTGAAATTTGCTTAATGTGAGACTTAAACGACATGTCCTGATCAAAGATAACTCCAAGATTCCTCACAGTGGTGCTGGAGGCCAGGGCGATGCCATCAAGGGAAACTATATCTTTAGATAATGCGTCACGGAGTTGCTTAGGCCCCAGAACTATAACTTCAGTTTTATCTGAGTTTAACATTAGAAAATTACAGGTCATCCAGATTTTAACATCCTGAAGGCACATTTGAAGTTTAGCTAACTGATGAGTTTCATCTGGTTTGATCAATAGATATAACTGAGTATCATCTGCATAACAGTGAAAGCTTATGGAATATTTCCTGATAATATTGCCTAAAGGAAGCATATATAAAGTGAAGAGGATTGATCCGAGGACAGATCCTTGAGGAACTCCATGACTAACTTAGGCGTGCATGGAGGACTCATCGCTAACATGTACAAACTGAAATCGATCTGATAAATAGGACTTAAACCAGCTTAGAGTTGTTCCTTTAATGCCAATGAAATGTTCCAGTCTCTGTAATAGGATCTGATGGTCAATGGTATCAAATGCAGCACTAAGATCTTATAAAACCAGTACAGAGACAAGTCCTTTGTCTGATGCAATAAGGAGGTCGTTAGTGCTGTCTCTGTGCTATGATGAGCTCTAAATCCTGACTGAAAATCCTCAAATAAACTATTGCTCTGTAGAAAGTCACACAGCTGTTTAGCAACTGCTTTCTCTAGAACCTTAGAGAGAAATGGAAGGTCTATAGGTTGGCTAAAACATCCGGATCAAGTTTGGGCTTTTTTAGAAGAGGTTTAATTACAGCTACTTTAAAGTACTGTGGTACATAGCCTGTTGATAAAGATAGATTGATCATATCTAGTATAGAAGTGCTGACTAAGGGTAAAACATCTTTAAGCAACCTAGTCGAGATGGGGTCTAAAAGGCAGGTTGATGGTTTAGATGAAGAAATTATTGAAGTTAGCTGGTAAAGATTGAGGGAAGCAAAACAGTCTAAACATATATCTGGTTCTACAGCTGTTTCTAAGGTTCCTGAGTTAAGAGATAAGTTGGTGCCAGTTGAGGGCAGGTCTTGGTGAATTTTGTCTCTAATAGCTAGAATTTTATCATTAAAGAAGCTCAAGAAGTCGTAACTACTGAGAGCTACGGGAATACTTGGCTCAATAGAGCTGTGACTCTCTGTCAGCCTGGCTACAGTGCTGAAAAGAAACCTGGGGTTGTTCCTATTTTCCTCTATTAATGACAAGTAGTATGCTGCTCTGGCATTACGGAGGACCTTCCTATAAGTTTTAAGACTATCTTGCCAAATTAAACGAGAATTTTCCAGTTTGGTGGAACACCAAAGTTTCTGCGATATTTGCTTTAATTTGCGAGTTTCAGTATTATACCATGGAGCTAACCGTCTTTGTTTTAGTATTTTCTTTTTTAGAGGGGCTACAGAGTCGACTGTCATTCACAGCGAGCCTGCAGCACTATCAACAAGATAATCGATTTGGGAGGGACTGAAATTAGCAGAGTCCTCCGTTACTTTGTGACTTGATAATGAATTTAGAGCTGATGGAATCGCATCCTGAAATTTAGCTACAGCACTATCAGACAGACATCTTGTATAGAAATCTTTGCCCAATGGCGTGTAGTTCAGCAATACAAACTCAAAAGTTATCAAACAGTGGTCAGATAAAGAGGGATTCTGTGGGAACACCGCTAAATGTTAAATTTCAATACCATACACCAAAACAAGGTCGAGGGTATGGTTAAAACAGTGAGTCGGTTCATGAACACTCTGAGAGAAGCCAATGGAATCTAACAGAGAGATAAACGCAGTACTAAGGATACTGATAAGGATAAGGATAATGCTGTATTCACATCTGTAAATAGCCTTCTTACAGTTTTTTTCAGTTTAGCAACTGAAAAAAACTGTAAGAAGGCATTTACCAGAACTTAAGATACTTTATCAAAACTCTTAACCGCACATAATTAGCCAAATAGTACATTTTGTGCTAAAAAACACATTTTGTTCTTTAAACAGCAACTCTACATTTCAAAATGCAAAAAAACATTCACTATGTACACAAACTCTATCAAAACACAGCAAACCTGACTCAAAATCAAATCATTCTGTCAAAACATTAGCATGTTTTCTTTCCAAGAGGAACAGACCAATCAATCATAGCACAATGACATTCTAAATACAAACATTTGATGGCATTACAAAAACTGCATTACTTTTCATGTTTCAGCTCTACCTTCAAACAGTAGACAATGTGAAATCCATTGTTTTTTGATATTCAGTTTCCTTTTACTGTAAACCACCCTACATTTTTGGCTTGAGGGTCGAATGTGTGCATTTTTGGCAACAAACTATGCAAAAGTGAATGAGTCATCTTTACTTTATAGAATGTACAGTAGAAAAAAATTGTTAGCGACAAAATTGCAGAAGTTAACGCTTTATTATCAACATGAAATTCAGCCAGTGATCAACAAATAATTCAAACTATTTGGCCTTTGGTTCAAAATTTGGCAAAATACTGTCAGATACACAATTTGACAACAAAAAAAGAGGCACAGATGGGAAAGAAACAAATTTGGCCACATGTTCTCATCCACATCACATTTAATGTCATCTCTTGCTATGCACCTTGGATAGAAACGCTTGGCATGTCACATTTAAGAGCAGGCTTAAGACTTTCCTCTTTGATAAAGCTTATAGTTAGGGCTGGCTCAGGTTAGTCCTGAACCATCCCTTAGTTATGCTGCTATAGGCCTAGACTGCCGGGGGATTTCCCATGATGCACTGAGCTCCTCTCTCCTCTACTTTCTCTCCCTCTATATGCAACCTCATCCCATTAATGCATGTTACTAACACAACTTCTCCCCTTTCCGGTAGTCTTGTGCTTTCTCGTCCCTCTCCTCTCTCCTCCTATCACTTCCTGCAGGTGTTTCTGACTCTGGAGCTGTGGTTGCGGGTCACCTGCTGCCCCTGTGTTCCTGCTCGACACCCTCTGCTGCCCCCGACTATTGTTACTAGTCCTATTATTGTTATTATAATCATTAACATTACGACTGTTACCATTAACACTACTATAAATATCTGTACCATTTTTCATTTAGTCTATAGCAACGTCACATCTACTGTCTGTACCTCTGTGTGTGTATTGTGTAGTCTCTCTCTCTCTCTCTCTCTCTCTCTCTCTCTCTCTCTCACCCACCCTGAGCCATGGTTCTGCTCGAGGTTTCTGCCTCTTAAAAGGAAGTTTTTCCTTGCCTCTGTCGCCTAGTGCTGCTCTTGGTGGGAATTGTTGGGCTTCCGTAAATAACATCACAGAGTACGTTTCTTCCCCGCCGACTTGTCTTTGCCAGGTTAAACCCTACCTCGTCCACATAAATGGTATCATGTGGGGTTTGATTAGACTTGAACTCCATGACTCTCTGAGGGATATCTAACACAGTATCAGTACCGTAACTCATGTTTCCATAAAGCAAACAAACAAATTATAAAACAAACTATAGAACAAGACATATTGGATAGATACCATACCTGGACGTATTGACCCGCTCACTGTTCCTTTCAAAAGGAACTGTGTACAACTGTTTCATCCGAACTCTGTGTTTGCTCAGAGTCCAAGCAATGGTGATCAGGCTAATGCTTTTCACATTGTGAAATACCAGGTTGTCCTCAACAATTCTGGTCTGAATTTCTCTCAGTTTTATTGCAATGTCAGCAATGACCAGTCCTACAATGGCATGCTATTGGTCTTTACTGAGGAGTTTTCCTCTTCCCCCAGAGGAAGGAAGACATTGTGTCCTAAAAGAACAAAAATACAACATACTGTATTTGCATTGGGACTGGTGGCCTACAGTTACTATGAGAGATAGCAACTTTACTGTAATGACAGAGGAAGCCCATGTGAAATTACTGTAATTGCTTACCGGTTGCTCATCGATAGACCATGGTTTATCACATCATCTATGATGGCAGCTCTCCTTTGAACACCACCACGCATTCTTAGTCCTCTCCCCCTACCTCTCTTTCTCCCTGGTTCTGGTCTAATTACTCCTCTCCTTGGTTGAGCTACTCCTCTCCCTGGTTGAGCTACTCCTCTCCCTGGCCCTCTTCCTCTCCCTGGTCCAACTATTTGTCTGCCTTGTCCAGACATTATTTTTTCTTTCTCTCCTCCTCTGTGTTGGTCTGTATCCACATTGAATAAATTCAGTCCAGAAAGTCCCCTTTATACTGCATTGTGTATGTAATTGAAAGAACTTCCACACCTGGCTATGTCTCTGATTGAGATTGGAATTAGCTGTTGATCTATTTTACCCAAATTACAATAAATCAGCTATTTCTCAGTGTTTCATTGATATGTTCATTAAGAAATGCTTATCAGCTGTTTCAATATAGATTTTGAGCTTCTTTTATTGCAGAAGTAGAGGCTTTATGCAATATTTAAGTTTTGATCATAAGGTCTTCATTTCTGACATGTGTGTAAGCATTTGTAAATAACACAAAAATATACATAGTTTTGGTATTGGGTAAGCTTGTACGTAATGAAAAACTTAGCATTGTAGAAATGGGTTAATTGTCTGCATATTCAGTGGAAAGAACATGAATTGTGTTAACGGTATGGAATGAACAGACCGATGTGGGGCTAACTGTGTTCAGAGTTTTGGAAATGTGACTACAGATTGGACCAAAGGTTAGCGGTTGTAAAAAACTGTATTATTATTCTTATTCTTATTATCCTACCTTGTTCCTGATGTGTACAGCAGCTCCTGCCTTGACCAGCAGTTTGACACAGTGAGAGAAACCATGCCAAGACACCTCATGCAGTGCAGTGTTGCCGTCCTCAAACAAATATTGGATATAGTATTATCATCACAAAGCATTATCATTTTATCAACCCCACAAATTGAGAATGCATGAACACATTTTCCTGTAGGTGTGTAAAAGGGTTCTGACATGTACTGTATATGTCCACCACTCACTCTGTCCTGAAGGTCCACAGCACAGCCTCCCTGAATCAGAGCAGCCATGGCATCACTGTTCCCGACCATGGCAGCTCGGTGCAGGCCTGGCTTATGACATGGCCCCTGGCATGATGATGAAGGCACATGGACCAGTGCCTGCTCACTCATCACTGCTGACACAAACACATTTATGCACATCCAGTAGGCCTATGGACCTGTGTGTGTATGTGTGCATGCATTCATGATACATGATTGACAACAGATATTTGTATATCATACATAATATCATTAAAGCAATAAATCATTTTAGTTGCAAAACATAGTCATTAATAGTGTCCTATTCCTACTCACCATCAGATGAATGACTTCAATCCTACAGTGCTCAGGCATGATGGATCTTGCACTTCCTGTTGCCTAAAATATCGACAACAGTTCTGGTGCTTCCAAGGATTTTCCACTTTGCAGGAGGTGATTCTGTGAAACACAGCACATAGCATGGTCAGTACACATGTGATATCAGTAATGAAATGAAGACTCAACCTCCACTGCTGTACTAGTGCCCTGAATACTGAATACTGCTGACTTTGTCTGTGTGAGTGTCAAGGTTATTATTGTTATCGAAAACGAACAAAATAACAAGCTAGATGTGAAAAAACATTGTCATTAACTGAAATCAAAACAAAAACGAGGCTTTACAAAACATGCTAACTGAAACTGTATTGGAGGTTTGCAAAACTAACTCAAATAAACCACAATTAAAGAGTAATTGTCCTTCTCTTTGTCATTTTATTTTATAAGACCTTATATAAGCCTATATTTTGGGTGGATATGAAGCCGGGTGGAAATGATGTTGTGAGGCAGTTTGTCTGGCCAGACCGGCAGTTCAGTGGGCAATAGGCACCTGTTGGTGAGCCACGGGTCTATTATGCTTTTGTCCTCCACAGAAGAGCTGGCACGCTTCATGTCCAGTGGCTGTCCTGCCACAATGTGAATGAATCAGAATTAAATCGGAATTGGTGTTCTTGCTTTATTCATCAGGAGAGCCCGGATCAGAGCAGTGTCTGGCCGGAGCATAGCAGGTTGCAGACCGCTGTTAAGAGAAGAGCTGGGTCAGAGCGAAGTGTGGGCGGAGCGTAGCATGTGCGATCTTTTTGGGAGCATGCTCATGTGACGTTAGGAGTAATTTAGTCAGGGAAATCCAAGTAGGGTTAACTGCGTAGCTGGGTTTTTTAACATTTTTTCTATTATGTTGTCTAATACAATTGTACAAAATAATATAAATGCAAAAACTGTATAGAGTTGTGTTTAGTTTTGTTTGAAGGTAGTAAGTCTTGGTGGTTTTCTTTTCCCTGCTGTGTTTTGTTCTGTTCTTGTGGTCTGGCTTAGTGCTCATACTGCTTGTGTGATCAACTTGCCCCTAATATATTGATTGTGAGCTCCCCTTGCGCTGGGTTAACGTGTCTGCTGGTCATTATATTCACTGCATGTCAGCTAGTATGTTGTTTTATGGGGTCATTGGTATCTCTGCCAACCTGTCTCTTTGTGCTTCACAAAGTTGTAATCAGAGTACTTATTTTTTGATAAATATAATTTAGATTAACTGCTTTCCACTCATACTTGCCTTTAGGGTGCTGGGGACCTGTTGTCTGTGGCTCCAAAGAGCTCCTACACTATCTTCCAATTTCTTAGCTGTGACAGTTTTAGTCCAAGCCCCTCATTTCATGCAGCGAAAACTAACACTGAAACTAATAAAAACTAAACCAAAACTAAGCATTTTCCAAAAACAAACTAAACTAAACTAGCAAACCCACGTTACAAACTAAATAAAATTAAACTGAAATTAAAAACAAAAAGTCAAAACGAAATAAAAATTAAAACTAATAAAAAACTAAAATAACCTTGGTGATTGTTTGACTTTGCTGTTATAAGAGCATGTGTGTAGCAGAATTAAATGTAGCCAACAATATTTAAGCGACAGCCTGGATCCACCTATCTGGTTGCTACAGATGATAACAGGATAAACTCAGGTAAGACTTGTATATGGATATTCCGCCAATTTTAAGACAATGCAGCAGGACAATGATCCTAAACATGCAGAAAATATAACCAAAGATTTTGTTCTTGACTGGCCAAGCCAGTTACCTGACTTCAATACAACTGATATTATGTTTATTTTATATTAAAATAAAATAAATGTTTGACAATCATTCTATCCAATTTTCATTTTGTTGGAAAATTATAATAACTGAAAAAATTTAATTAAAGGCTGAAGAAAAGGCCTTCAGTCATTATCTATAAAGGTTTTTGCACCAAATATTATAATAATTATAATATATAAGATTAGTATGAGCCAATGTGTTTTCCATCGCTCTCTGCCGAGAAACAATAAATATGCCATTGCCACTGCTAGGCAATGGTTTGCATTACTTTGTTAAACAGACCAGACCTAGGCTGCACACCATGACATTATGAACATGCACCCCGCACATGGATGGCCACAGCAGGAACAGACAGCGTTGTGTTTATTAGACACTAATAATTGGAAAACACATGTTGACAGGTGCTTTACAATTAGACATTATTTATTTTATATTATAGGAACCTAAATATACAAGGGAATCTAAATTTATTCAAAAAACAGTGACATAAACAATTATGATATTTTAGAGCTCTCCCCTCAATTTCTCAAATGAGACTTTCTTGGGAGGTCATGTAGTTTCCCTGTATTTTGAACCCTGAATACCACTCATGAGCAAATGTCTGACAGTTTTGAGTAGCCCAGCTTAACCTTATAATAATGATGAATGCTTGCCTAGTCAAGTCAGGTAGTGACTATGCCAAAAGCTTGTAAATGAAGGGATTGGCAACTAACATAAACATTTTTGGATTCAAAGAGTTAAAGCTGCATGTGAGTCATGTTTCTGAGCACCCGAAGTGTAATATTCACTCTCTTTTAGCTCTGGTGAAATATGTTCACCAGCTAGACTCAACTGTGTCTGCCTGCTGTTTGGTGCTGGGCAGGTAGTGGACAGTGGGTTTATCAAACAGCTGCCTGCTGCAGCTGGAAACACAGCTGGTGAGAGCACTGAGACTGAACCAAAACAACAAAGTTGTAGACCACTCCGACAAAGTGCTGAAAGAGGATAAAATACTCTGTAGAGTCAAGCGGAACTGCAGAAGTGGGTGATAACCCTTTAAAGATTTTTCACTGTGAATGATGTGAATGTAAATAATAACAATATAAAGTGAATAGCCCTGTGTAGGTATATTCATTCAAACATCTGACCCAAATGAAGGATTTTATGTCCGTGCTGCAGTTTTTAATCTGATAGTCAGATTATGCTCTATTTCAAGGGTCAACATTTAATCTTTGTTGGTGATTAACAGCCTTGAACCCAAAGCATGTGCAAAACACTGAAACACTCTTCATTCTGTTCTCTTCACTATTCCCACCTGTATCACATTTTACTGTAAAGACATTCATGCAATGACGCCTAGGTCTGTGCATAATTACACTGTGTACTGTACACTGTATGTTATTCTATGTTTTATGATTTTTTTATTATTACTTAACTTGTGGAGCATGAAACTGATTGGTCTGATGTATTTTTACATTTACTCATTTGTCAGACGCTTTTATCCAAAGCCACTTAGATTTGAGGAACAACATACAAGCACCAATGAAGCATGAATAAAGTAAGAGATCTACAAGTGACAATAGATACTAGTAAGAGCTATTAGTGTGCACAGCATCAATGGGGTAAATACTGTTGTGTAATATTTACAATCTTAAGGTTTTAAGTTACATGATAAAGCTTCTATATAGTGCATTCTAAGCCACGTTTGTTTTAACCCCTCTGTTGGCCACTCTTTCTATGTATAAATTACCATGACTGTGTAATCAGAAAAATGTTTTAATCTTTTAAAAAATGTAATTTGTCCTTTTGAAATCAATTTACGCATATATATCTTTTTTATTATTATTATTTAACTTTCGGGATGTTCTGATGGTGAATATTGAGACTAAATCATCCAAAAATATCTAAATCATCATTGAAGAATTCATCATTCTTCGGCTGGGGGTGAAGGTTGTAGGATGCCTAATCCAAATCTCATACGCTGCTGCTGATGAAAACACTAGAATTCAATTCAATTTTATTTATATAGCGCCAAATCACAACAACAGTTATCTCACAGCGCTTTTCATAAAAGAGCAGGTCTAGACCGTACTCTATGATGTTATTTACAGAAGCCCAACAGTTCCCACCAAGAGCAGCACTAGGCGACAGAGGCAAGGAAAAACTTCCTTTTAAGAGGCAGAAACCTCGAGCAGAACCATGGCTCAGGGTGGGCGGCCATCCGCCTCAACTGGTTGGGGTGAAGGGGAGAGAGAGAGAGAGAGAGAGAGAGAGAGAGGGAAGGAGAGGAACAGAGAGAAAAAGAGAGGGATGGAAGGAGAGAGAGGGGAGGGAGGCAGCCTACACAATATACACACAGAGGTACAGACAGTAAAGGTGATGTTGCTATAGACTAAATGAAAAATGGTACAGATATTTATAGTAGTGTTAATGATAATAATCGTAATGTTAATGATTATAATAACAATAATAACAATAGGACTAGTAACAGTATTTGTTGTAGCAGAGGGTGTCGAGCAGGAACACGGGGGCAGCAGGTGACCCGCAGCCACAGATCCAGACTCCACAGCTCCAGAGCCAGAAACACCTGCAGGAAGTGACAGGAGGAGAGAGGAGAGGGACGAGAAAGCACAAGACTACCGGAAAGGGGAGAAGTTGTGTTAGTAACATGCAATAATGGGATGAGGTTGCATACAGAGGGAGAGAAAGTAGAGGAGAGAGGAGCTCAGTGCATCATAGGAAATCCCCCGGCAGTCTAGGCCTATAGCAGCATAACTAAGGGATGGTTCAGGACTCACCTGAGCCAGCCCTAACTATAAGCTTTATCAAAGAGGAAAGTCTTAAGCCTACTCTTAAATGTGGAGATGGTGTCTGCCTCCTGAACCCAAACTGGAACCTGGTTCCACAGGAGAGGAGCTTGATAGCTGAACGCTCTGGCTCCTAGTCTACTTTTGGAGACTCTAGGAACCACAAGTAACCCTGCATTCTGGGAGCGCAGTGCTCTGGTGGGGTAGTAAGGTACTATGAGCT